GGGCGAGCAGGCCGGCAGGCAGAGTGGTTAGAGGCAATCAGGCAGGCAGGCAGGCAGGTGAGCGGTTAGGAGCCAGCAGTCCCGGATTACAAGAGGGATGTCCGACTGCTGGTTTAGGCCCGATCCCTGTAAACTGGCAGGACATTTTTCGAGGGGTCCCAAATTGGAGAGGGTGCAGGCCAGGCTGAGGAACACACCCTCCCCCGTGCACAAATTTCGTGCACTGGGCCACTAGTGTGTGTATGTATGTATGTGTGTGTGTGTGTATATATATATATATTCCCCCCCCCAGTGACCGAACGGCGAAATGACCTGAATGACTGGTTGACTAATCACTATGACGTGCACTGACCACCAGGGGGCAGACGCTCAACGCAGGAGCTGCCCCATGGTGGTCAGTGTGCTCATACAGTGGAAACGCAGTTCGGCTGACCTGAATGAGTGGCTGCTTCCGCAGCGGGAGCAGCTGCTAGGAGGCCCAGGGTGAGGCTGAGTCTCTGCACCTATCAAATACCTGAGACAATCCAGACTCTGGCCTGACCCCACCAGCTGCTGTAGTCCCTCTAAGGTGTGTTCTAGAAAGAGTGCAAGGAGCTGGCATAGGCGGATGGCAAGAGGGGATGTGACTGTGGACTCCCCGGGGAGGCTGTCCTGATGGCTGAGGATCCTGGAGCACGGCTGTCCTCTGTCTCAGGATTCAATCATTTTTATTATTAGGATATCTAAGAAAGAAAAGCACAAAAATAAAATAAATGTTTATAAGAGTAGTCATCTTCAATGAGAAATTGTTAATAAATATCCTTGGCAAATATTTCTTACATATTGCTTTTTTAGTTTAGAGCTAACTCCATTAAAATCACTCCTGTATTGTATAGATTCTAAACAGTATTTGCTTTCCATATATTCAAAAGTGATTATCACTGCCCTGGCTGGTTTGGGTCAGTGGATAGAGCGTCAGCCTGCGGACTGAAGGGTCCCAGGTTTGATTCTGGCCAAGGGCACCAAAAAAAAAAAAAGTGATTATCACTGTATAAAGCAATACCAATAATCATTGCAGATTCATGAGTATCTTCATGATAAAGGACTTCATCTACAGTTTTTGTGACCTATAACATTGCTTACGAAATGTATAACATTGACATTTTTTATTCTATAATGAACTAGAACTTGACAAATTTAATAGTCATGATAATGATATTCAATAAATTTGGAATTTGAAAAAAAATATTGAAATAGTTATTGAAATGAGCTATATAAAATAAATTATCAATAAATACTGTGGGAAGCACTTTGTGGTTATTGACTTTGATTATAGAAAATGTATTTGCTTCTATTCCTTTTGCTATTTAGGTCGCTGTGTATTTCAGATCTGGAAACCTCTGGAACAAGTAATCACAGAAACTGCAAAGAAGATTTTAACTCCTGTAAGTTAAAGACAGCTTTCATTAGAAAGCTCATTTTGATTTTTAAGTATCATATTTGACAGTAATTCAAAAAAAAAGTCTTGAATTTTCCAACTTTGTGGAAGGTTTACTTCTTTTATTATATCCTCAGAGTGTTTGTCTCATTTATTGATTTAGATTTTTTTAAGGTTCTTGGTCACATTTTTATATCCAAACTTTTTTATGGTTTTGACATCTAATTATTTCTTACTATTGCATTCTTTTAGTATTATTACATCAATTTTGAGGTAATTTATTTTCCTTGTTTAATTAATATTCATTTGTTCACTTAGTGATTGTTTACTGTAAACCAGTCCCTGTGCCATGAGCTGGGTATGGCTGGTGAACAAAATATATGTGGTCTCTGATCTGGTGTGGCCCACACAAGTGTTTATTTCATCCTGAAATTTGAAACTAATCCCCTTATACCGCCACAACTGGTCATCTCGAACATAAAATATAAGATTCCAAACTTGAAATCTGTAGGGCTTTTACATTAATCTACTAGCATCATAGCTGCACTGCTGAGCTAAAGGTAAGTGATGAATAAATGATAGGTAACTCTATAAGGTGGTAAACTGGTTTGGGACCACTGGAGACAATACAAAGAGAATTCACTGAAACATCTTACCTAATAATAGACAAACATGAAAATTGACCGTACTTTCGCTATGCCTTAAGCCACGCCCACCAGCCAATCAGAGCGACTATATGCAAATTAACCCAACCAAGATGGTGGCCAGCAGCCACGGAGCTGGAGCGAGCAGGAGGCTTGCTTGCTCCAGTGATGGAGGAAGCCAGCCTGCTGCGGCCTGCTCTGAGCTCCACTCAAAGCAACAAAGTTTCAATTATAGAAGGTAAATAAACCCCAGATACCTGCTTTTAGCCGGCTGTGGCCACGGAGCTGGAGCGAGCAGGAGGCTTGCTTGCTCCAGTGATGGAGGAAGCCAGCCTGCCGCGGCCTGCTCTGAGCTCCACTCAAAGCAACAAAGTTTCAATTATAGAAGGTAAATAAACCCCAGATACCTGCTTTTAGCCGGCTGTGGCCACGGAGCTGGAGCGAGCAGGAGGCTTGCTTGCTCCAGTGATGGAGGAAGCCAGCCTGCTGCGGCCTGCTCTGAGCTACACTCAAAGCAACAAAGTTTCAATTATAGAAGGTAAATAAACCCCAGATACCTGCTTTTAGCCGGCTGTGGCCACGGAGCTGGAGCGAGCAGGAGGCTTGCTTGCTCCAGTGATGGAGGAAGCCAGCCTGCTGCGGCCTGCTCTGAGCTACACTCAAAGCAACAAAGTTTCAATTATAGAAGGTAAATAAACCCCAGATACCTGCTTTTAGCCGGCTGTGGCCACGGAGCTGGAGCGAGCAGGAGGCTTGCTTGCTCCAGTGATGGAGGAAGCCAGCCTGCTGCGGCCTGCTCTGAGCTACACTCAAAGCAACAAAGTTTCAATTATAGAAGGTAAATAAACCCCAGATACCTGCTTTTAGCCGGCTGTGGCCACGGAGCTGGAGCGAGCAGGAGGCTTGCTTGCTCCAGTGATGGAGGAAGCCAGCCTGCTGCGGCCTGCTCTGAGCTACACTCAAAGCAACAAAGTTTCAATTATAGAAGGTAAATAAACCCCAGATACCTGCTTTTAGCCGGCTGTGGCCACGGAGCTGGAGCGAGCAGGAGGCTTGCTTGCTCCAGTGATGGAGGAAGCCAGCCTGC